GGGGGGGGGGTGGGGCGTGCTTGTGGTCTTGCTGTGTGTTTCTTTATGCTGTTGTTGTTCAGGGGGGGGGGCTTGCTGTGTTGCAGTTTCTGCGGAGGAGGTGCTGTTTTTTGGCTGTTGCTGTGTGGAAGCAGTCGCTCACTCACTTGCTCGCTTGCCGGGGCCTGGTCTGCGGAGCACAACAACCAAAAAGCAGCAGCAACTGCAAAAAAGCACCCGTTCCGTGCCAAGACCATCAATGCCAAGTGATGGCTCCCTGGGCATCAGACAGTGTGGTCTGTGCCTTCTAGCCAAACTGTCGCTTTGCTTGTTGCAGCCTGGAAATTAAAAGGATGAAGCCAGGCCCCATCTTGTTTGTCTCTGTCAACATCTATGTTGCCATGCAAAGAGCATGGGGCCGTTCGGTTATGGAGTTCAGGACTGCGGACTGCGACAAATCTTTCTCGCTTTCTCAGCACCGGCAAACGGCGCAAAGTCTCAACCCGCGGCATTACAGAAACATCAGGTTCCAAAGGTTTCCTTGCCCCCGCCCGGCCTTCGGGTTGTCCTGGGGAGTGTCCTTTGCGGCATCTGCAGACCTGCAGTCTCTTGTCACTCAGAAGCCCAGTCGCAGCCTGCAGCGGTCGGGCTATCAGAGGCCCAGGCTCCGTGGCTGTAGCCTGGGCCTGCAACCAAACATGCTTTTTTCTGCCCCCGACTCGGGGTAAAGCACAAACAGGGACCACCTGATGGGGCTCCGCTTGGGAAGTCAAATCTTTAGAGGCTTCCACTGGCCTCGGTGCGGCCGGGTGTGCGGTGCTTCTTCTGCCACTGTAGTTTGGTACCATGAAACAACGAAGTGGCTAAGCCTGATGCAGTTTTGCAGTGGCCAGCTCCTGTACAAGTTGGCCCGAGCCACCCGTGCCCTGGAGTCTGAATCCCCCCGACTTTCCAGCTGGGACCCAGCTGCACCCCTGTCGTGCTGGCGGTGGCCTCGGGCGCGTGCTGCGCGGTCGGCGTAGGAGGCTCTGCTGGCCTCCGTCGACACGGCACTTTGTGCTCTCGCAGCTGAAATCTGCCTGAGGATCTGAGAATCGTTCGTGGGCGTGGGCATGGCTACCTCAGCGGAAGCCTTGCCGAGGCTGTATGTTCCACCAAATAAAGCGTCAAGGCTTGCGCCTGCCTGCACAGCTGCACTCGAAGCCTCCGAGGCTAAAGCCTTTGCGGGCACTTCCACAGAATGTTGGCTGGAAGCTGGGCTCGAGTCACGAGCATTGGGCAATTATTTTAATATATGATATTATATGGTGCGTGCGGGAACGCCGTCCCGCCTCTGCCGGAGCATCGGGAGCTTTCCCCGCAGAATCTGCTGGCTGGTCCGCTGCTACAGCCGCAGCTTCCGCGGCCGGAGCTTCTGCTGAAACCGCAGCTTCTACTGCCGGAGCTTCCGCGGCCGGAGCTTCTGCTGCAGCCTCACGGAGGTTCTCACACAAGCACAGTCCAACCCATCCAGGGACCGAGGCTTCGGCCGGAGGTGCTTCTGTGATGGGAGCAGTAGCAGGCCTCGTGGTTGATCTTCGCTTGGAGCCATGCAAGGCAAGGACATGCAAGGGTGCAGGATGGCGCAGGAATCTTACGTGACACGTAAGCTGGTCCAACAGCTCGAGCCCTAAACTCCTCCAGAAAGTCCAGCAACCTTTTGAGGTGCAAGCTCGGCAGCGGCAGCCTCCTCACCGTTCCGGCAGGTGAGCGACCCACTGCAGAGCTCAAGAACCCTTCGAAAGGGATGGCCAAGAAGAAGCAATAGCAGAGCCCTCACAATATCTCGTCTTTGTTGCAGTGTTTAGCGAACTGTCGGCGTTGCTTTGAGTCCTGCACCTCGCCGTCGAGGCCTCCCTGCTTCGGTTCCTCCGCTGTGGTGGCTTTCTCGGCCGGCCTCAGCTGACAGACGCGCACACCCGAAGCCATCGGAGCCTCATCTCGTCTGTTCTTTCTGGGCTCCGGGCTGCGCCTCGTCTTCAGGAGCCTCCAAAAAGATACTGTCATCTGCAGGCCCAGCGCCAGCAAGCGCAGCGCGGCTCCTGGGAGTCGGCTTTGGGCTCACCATTCGACATCTGCGGCCTCAACGGCAGGAGTCGAGCTTGGAGCTTGGAAGAGGCAGCTTTCTGGGTTTCTGGCGCCGTCTCTGTGGCTTCAGCCTCTGTGCGAGATCAATGGCCCAAAGACCCAACATGACAAGCACCTGTGCAGGTCCCCTGCCTTGGCGCTGTCGCCATCTGCATCTTTGAGAGCAGGAGTAGCAGCTGCAGGCCTTGCTTCAAACGTAAGCTCCTAGTCCTCCCAGTCTGTCATTGCGACGTGAGACCACTGCTTCTCACAGGCTTTCTCACAGCATGCTACGGATCTACAACGATGTATCAGTCCCCCCAAAATCCCCTGAGCCCGCTTGCTTCGCAGCCTCCCCTGGCCCCTGCGCAGGGCTTGATCTTCAAAGATCGGAGATGGAGACATCTCAGGCTGCGGACAATTAGTCTGTTTCACAGTTTCACATTCGACAGACATTGCCAGCTGAAGATGCAGCCTCTGGTTTGCAAGCTCATCCCACCAAGAGGTAGCGGAGCTGCTAATTGCCGTCACTACCGGCTGCACACCTTCAAACCGCAACAATCGCGGCCCGGCCTTGCCATCACCGCCTCGGGGGGCGAAAGACACATCAATCGGAAATCGAAGCGAAGCCCTCCAGCATCTGAAACGCTATGACTCCCATCGAGCTGGCCTCCGCCGTCTTCTCCTTTCTTCTTTCCCTGAAACGTCTGAACAGCGGCTAGGCCGACGCAACCGGATAAGGCCACTCCTACACTTCGAGATCCGGACTTTCCCCCCTCTTCGCCGCTTCTTCGTAGCCTGTTCACCACCTGGTGCATAGCAAGCTCCAGAGCAATCCCTGGCCCGGATCACAGAGGCGAGCACCGTTGGCGGCAGGCGCTTCCTCCCCTGCAAATCAAAAGCGTTTCGTTTGGTGGCACCTGCATTGCACCTAGCACCGCTCCCCCGCCCCCCGTGCCTTTCTTGCCAGGGCCCGGCCTCAGATGAGTTCGCGACGGTTCGGGCAGAGGCTGGGTGTGCGCAAGGAAACGGTGCAGGAAGTCAGGGTGTGAGGATCCCGGCTTGGAGCCATCAGATCGACGTATGTCCCGTGCTTGGGGCATGCCATCCTTTGGACTGCAACTTGGGATCTGATGCCCCCTAAAGGTCCAGGTGCCAGCCTTGTTGGTGTCCAGCAGGAAGCTGAGCTCCTCACCTAAGGCCGAAGGATGCCGAAGGATGCCGAAGGCCGAAGATGGCGAAAGGCGAGCGCCCAAAGGGGAGAGCCCAGGGAGCCGAGGCTTCGGCCGACCTCCAAGTCGCCGATCTGTGCCTTCGCTGCTCGGGTGCGGAGTGCGGAGTGCGGAGTGCGGAGTGCGGAGTGCGGAGTGCGGAGCAGAGCAGAGCGTGCGCGCCTTGTGGACAAAGACGTCCCTGCTAAAGCGATGCCTCACCTCAGAAAAGGCACACAGAGATCGCACAACCAACTCGCCCCGAAGCAGTTGGGCATTTCCCCCAAAAATGCTGCGCGATACCAGCGACCAGCGAGACGTGCGAAGGCAGCATTGAATTGGACTACAGCGATTCTGCTGTTCGAGAGCTGTTCCTGCTACGTGTTCAAGGCTGCAAATCAAATCCAGGATCAGAGCACATGCTGAACTGATTCGTACCCCTTGTGCTCCAGCACTTGCCAAGGTTTCTATGCCTCTGACCTGCGGGCAATCGATGAAGCCAAAGCCATGCCTGACGTCGGCGACAGGCTGACGGACTGGATGCATACTCATTCCACAGCACTTCTGCTTAGTCTCCGGCTTCGGGTTGAAGGACTTCAGGGTTCCAGTCTGACGGCCAGAGAAGCCACTGGGACCCTGGCGAGTCGAGGGTTGCAAACACAAGAACAACTTTACGGCTTTGTCTTGCTAGCGGTAGGCAGAGGAGACCAAGCTTAAAAAGTAACCCATTTCAGGTTTCCCAAAACATCAGCCAGGCAGACCCCTGGTGGGCCGTAGCCTGGACCTGGGGGTGGCGGGCCGTAGCCTGGTGGTGGGTAGTGACCTGGCGGGCCGTAGCCTGGGGCTCCATAGCCATACGGCGGAGGCCCATACCCAGGAGGAGGCCCGTAACCGGGGGGTGGCCCGTATCCTGGGGCTCCATAGCCCGGCGGAGGGCCATAAGAGCCATAACCTGGTGGCGGCGGGTAGCCGCCGTAAGCAGGCGGTGGCTGCCCATAGCCCGGCTGGCGATCGTATTCTGGAGGGGGGAACTCCTGCACGTGTCACCAGAGCAAGTCTCGAGCTGGGCTGCACTGACGTCCTCCGGTCGAGGTTGCCGTGGCTCCTGCCGTGTCTTCTCTCCGCGAGCTCACTCATCTCAGTCGCATGTTCTCGCCTCCCGTGGCCGCCGCCGGCTTCGGCTCCGGCTCCGCCGCCGCTGTGGAGCGCGGCCCTGACCACAAATACGGGCTGAGAGCATCCGTCAACCGAGAACAACCAGAGGCGGCCATCCGCTAGACGGACTCTGACTTGACATCTTATGACCCACCAGGGATGATTCCTGATGTACGACTGAGGGGCTTGCGGAACTCTGCGGTGACTGCGGCCCTCCGACGAAGATGTTGTCGGGGTTAGGATAGAGCATCTTGACCTTCATGCCAGTGCGACACGGCTTAATTGCAGGGGTGCTACTCCTACCTCGCTTTCTTGCGCTCTCTCTGCCTCGGCTATTCCTACGGACAAGCGCGGGAAAGTCTGAGAGCCGAGCTGCCACATGCGACTGGCAGGGCAGATCGCAGATTTCAACGAAGCGCTTTAGACATATCGCGCGTTCCCTGGAAGGGCGCCATTGCACAGGCTGATCCCACTAACAATAAGGCCGTGAGGAGCCTTGCAGTAGGATAGCCAAAGCAAGCAAAAAATCAAACACCAGGTGCCCTAAAGGGCCCTAAAGGGCCCGAAAGCACCTCAGGGGGCCAGTCGTGGAGGCGGACCAAGAGCCTCCGCAGGGAACACAGCGTGGTTCTGCGACGCCCATGCCCAACACTGCCCAGCGCAGCGCAGCACTCAGTCCGCCGAGGCACTCATCTCCGATAGGAAAGAAGCCTTGAGAAAACCAGGAACGCCTGAGCAGGCCGAAGGAACTTAGACAGCAGCCGAAACCACAGAACATCTCTGCTGTCAGTGCAAGAAAGGCGGAAAACAGAAACGGAGCATCCGAGTCGCATTTTCGATGTTCGAAACGGGCCGAACTCCTGGCCCGTTCGATCCACATAATACCTGGCAAGAGTAGGCCCCCAGGCATCGTACTTCGAAATGCTCCTTCATGCATTATCCATCTATCTGTTGTCTACCTATTACCTGTCTATATGTACGTGTAGGTGTATAAATACATATATATATATATATATACATATAGGTATCTGTCTCTCTTTCTAACGATCGACCTACCTATCTATTTATCTGTCGAACGATCTATCTACCCAGCGATCTAACTATCCACATGCATATCTACCTACCCATTTTGCGATTGGCCTCCCAATTTATTTCTATCCACGATCCGTTCATCTGGCCATCTATGACTGCCACTGCCACCATCTCTATCTCTATCTAGCTCTGTGTATCTGCATATCCGTCTATCAACGCATTTAGTCTCATGACATCCAAACTAACTTGATGTGTGCGCGGCTGTCGCATAGATTTGAACAGAGAGAGAGAGAGAGAGTGACACAGTCATGACATATAAAATGCGCCGCTAAATACATGTTAAACATGGATGCGTGCAACCCAACAAGCCACACCGCACCACACCTTACCATACCATACAACACCACACGACACCTTTACCTTGCATTACGTCACATTGCGTTGTGGACAATACATGACATGACACTACATACCTAGTACTACATGCATGCATTCATGCATGAATGCACGCATACATAAGCACGACTGCGGTGTAGCATGAGCAAACCTGAATGGACACAGCAAGGCCAGATGTTGGGGCACCATTGTAAGCGCTCTGGATCTCCCATGGCCCAGTCCACTCCGTGGCCAATGGGCCCACGAGGAAGGAGCTTACAGAAACGACCAGTTAGTTGGGCTGTGTCTCTGGCTGTTTTAAGCGCGTGGAGTCCTTGCAACATTGCAGACGACATCGTCGAAGCTTGTCGTTGCACACTCTGGGCGCTATGGAGGAGGTGCTACAGTGAATATACACTGAAATGTTATTTTTGTGGCTCTTCCCATCACTCCGGCCCTTCGAAGTGCATCCCTTCATAGCTCTAACCCCGGGCACTGCTGCGTTGGTGAAGAAGCAGGGTGGAGAAAGCTGATTCATGCCACAGCTGTGACATGGCAATTTGAGAAACGTAAGGGCGTGGATGCCTTTCCGCTTGTTTTCTGCACTGCAGCTGTACTGCACTGCACGATCCTGAAGCTTGCACCATCCAAGAAAAGCACCCGAGGGCAGGCAAAACGCTGGGAAGAGTCGATGCTGGCTTTGGCAGAAGATGGAAAAGGGTTGATGTGGCCGATGGACGGCTAGGGCCCAAAATCCCTGAGCAAGATGTGCTGGAAGATGGGGGAGGCCCAGTTCCACACCAACCGTCTTCCGTCCCCTCAGAATCTCCAAGCTCCAGGGGTGCCTTCCGTGGAGGCACTGCCCATCCTGACCCAGACTGCCTTATTGACCAGAGCTGGTTCTCCCCTCCAATATGCCAAGGTGACTGCGTTGTCGAATCATCTGCTAAGGGAATATTGGAGGAGACAGGGCTTGCATGATCTCGGATCATGGCATCTGGGAACCCACACCCGAAAGAGATCCTCCGCTTTACATGTCATGCACGGCCTTGGGAGAGGGGATTCCCGGACTGCCACCTGCTACAGATTGAATCCCACCAGCCTATGTGCAGCTAAATAAAGGCGTTTCTCGAAGCCAGGAACACGCAAATACATGGCTGCTGTTCTCGGCTCTCGACAGCAACACTTCCTGGTTTTGAGAAACCGGCCGAAAAGATAAGCACCGGTACATCACTGGACTTGGGTGTCACTGTCAGCAGTATGCACGCAGCTTCAAGCTGCTAGGCCTCTGAGGACTGCTGCTGAGCCCGTCTTTCTTCGAATTCAATATGAATTCAAACTCGTTCGGGGTCTCAGGAGCAGCAACTGTAGCTCGGCAAGTCCAATGACGTTTTTGCGCTACTGCTGATTGTTGGGAGCCTTGGCCCTCGAGTCCTCCATATCACATATGACGGCGTATGGGCCACAGGCTCTCACATTCCAGCAGTAGCTGTGCGACGCTTAAGAGTAATTAGCATTCACGTGTCACTCAGCCGAACATGTCCATCTCGGCAGGCGCGGGGATTCGACACGAACGCGCAGAGGGCTCGCATGACAGCGCTCCATCTCGGGGCCCCGGGCGTCATCGGCCGCCTTCGCCGAGGCCGGGCCCGAGGAGCCTTTGACCACTCCTGGCGGATCGCATCCGCATCCGTGCCCGGTGCCGTCACCTCTCCGTCTCCCAGCCTGCTTCGATGGTCGCAGCGGCGGCCACCGGGCCTTGGCCTCCTGTCAGCCAGCAAGGGAAAGGGAGAGCAAGCGGGCTTGGGGTCGTTCCGGCCAGACTTGCGACAGTACGAGCGAGCGTTGGCAATCTTCCCTACCAAGACACTCTACGTAAAACACACACTGTAGTGACTATCGCAACACATGGATTCTGTTCCTGATTGAGTGCTGCTCGAACTAGTCGCTATGTTCAGTGGGTCATCGCAATTCAGATGGCTAATTCCAGCCAGCTGCCAGTGAAGTTGAAATTAGATGCTCTGAGCCCGCACATGTCCGAACATGTCGCGGGTACGGTTGGCAGTATGGGACCACTATAGTTCACTGCAAGACTCCAAGAGCCCCCAGCAACTAGGCGGGTCCTCGAACATCAACTGTGTTCATCCTACTGAGCTAGCATGGCACATCTTCCCGCAAAGGAGTTGAGCTCAGAGCGGTGAGACGAGGGGGCAACAGGTCATGCAGAAAGCAACCGATGCAAGATTACAATTCCCAGTCTTTATAAGCACGTACAGCCAGCCATCCAGGGCAGACTCAACCTTACAAAACGCTGCTCGACTGTAGCCCACTGGCACCCTCGCAAAGAGGGCCTTGGATTATCTTGGGACATTTGAATTTGCTTGTGGCATGTACAACAACCTACAGAAGTTTCTTTCTCTCTTCTTGAAACATACTGACACTTATCCCACTGCTTGGCGGGGCCAACTTTCGCAACATGGCCCCATGGCTTAGCAGCCACGTCTGCGACGCTCGAGAGCTCGCCGTTCTACACAAGAGCTGACTGGTCCCATGGTTTCAGAAAATGGACAGCTGTTTTGTCATGCTTGGTAGAGTTTGATGCGCTCTGTTTGATGCTCAATCACGACCGTGGACAAACATCAACAAAATCCCGGGTCCGGGTGGGGCACGGATGGATTGTATGATTTCTGCATGCTTCTGTGCTCAACGTCCTATCCAACAGCAAGCATCCAGCTATGGTCACGACTGAAACCAACATTCCGCACAGTGTTAGTGTATTCAAGTCGAACAGCCATCCGGAGGTACTCCTCCTTTTGAACAACAGCTCCAAGGAAAAATGTCCACCATTGGTGAGCACTGCGGAACCCAGTGGCATGAGCTATGCGGAAGGACGGTGAGTCCACTTAACTTCATAGAATAGTACTGACCTTGTACATAGTGGAGCACGCACCCTAACCAAAACTTCTCTCTTCGCACTGGGCAAATTTGGGCAACCCCAAGGTGCCGTCACGGCCTGTCTTGCCCACGTACTTCGGAACACTCTTGTCAGCCCAACCTACAAGTCAAGGGGACGTGGCTTGCATGTCGGTGGATGTGCTGGTTCGTTGCATTGGTTTGTTTGGAGACTCGTGAGCTGCAACAGCTTCAAGCTGAACCACTGTCAGGAACGCAGAAGTGCAACTGCAAAGTGACTGCATCTTGCAGAAGCTGCGTACATGCAGGCAACAGCACATGTCGACAGCTTCTCATGCGGAGTGGATGTGTGCTCACAGGCAGGATGCACTTGATGATACTGCGAGCCCTATGTATATGTCTCACACCTGGAATGCCAAATACAGGACCCACAACCCTGAAGGGAGCGAAGCTCTCAGATTCAGCTGGTCCCACCAAATTGCACCACCAAGACGGTCAGGTTGTCCTCGCTCCCGCCTTCACAGCGGCGGCTTAGGCTCACCAGGGAATTGTTCTCAGTTCGGTCAAGCAGACAGCAGCTTGTCTCTGAAATACCTTTCTTTTGACCCCTTCCCAGGACGTAGCACAAGAACTGACTGGCTGCAGGTCAACGCTTCCCTTTCCCCGAGTCTCTACATCCCCATGAGAGAGACTCCGACGTAAAAGCACTTTCTCAGCTCCCCCACGTTTGTAGGCTGATCGGACAATGTTCTTTGCGGCTTCTTCGGGCTCTCGCCAGTGCCTCATGCAAGCAGACATGATAGCACCGTGAACATCAAGAGGGTGAAGGTTCGTGGGCCAAGCAAACATGCCGTTTTGCGACGAGGTCACAAACTTCAAGCTACAAAGAAGGCAAATTTCCCAAATTCGCCACTAACTGTTAGTCACTGGAGCTGTAAATTCAAAAGGGTTTGCCGCATGCGTCATCATGTTGATTTAAGATGATTTAAGCTTGAGCCACAAGCAGTCTCACACGCCAACCCATTGCGGCTCTGCTGTATAGAAAAGCTTGCTCTGCTTCTCCCTTGCGTGGCACAGGAAACATCGCGTGACTTCCTCAACACCCACCTCATGGCCAGGTCGATAACTTCCTGGCGCACCACGCGAATTCTCAATTGCAATTTAGCTGCACCTGAACGCATTCTGGAGATGTCGTGCGGGGTACCTCACCTACAAGCGCAGGGTTTATCTCACATCAGTCGGCAAGAATACACATCACGGGTGTGTTCGCTTTTTTAAGGAACTACACATCAGAGGCGAGAATGCACATGATCAGATGCTAATCCGAATGTAGACGCGGTGTGTAGTCTCCAAGTCGTGCAAGCTCAACTTTCAGGATATGCTGCGGACGCTGGGGTTTCAAGTTCTTTTCATGGCACTCTAAAGCACAATTCGGCACCGAATCCCCAAGTAGACGCTGCTTCTTCTCGTCGCATGAATGGATGCCCTGGGTATCGAAAAGCACTCGAGATCCACATTCCCGAGCTGTGATCCTTTGGCTGCAACCGTGGTCCACGTATCGAGCATTGATCTTTGGAGCAACAGCAATGACATCAAAACCAGCCAATCCCACGAAAACACTCGATTCACAAGCACATGCACAGGACACACATCAGTGGCATCACAGCACGCCCAAACCAGCCATGGCCCATGTAGGTGTGTCTCTGTCTCGATGTCCTGTGTATGTGTGTCTGTCCGCGTGCGTGTACCCAGCGCCAAAGAGTGTGACCGAGACCGGTTTGGATGAGCTCGACCTGTTTTCCGCAGGGCCACGTGATTAGTTCCGAAATGGACAAGCACCCGTTCGAGACACAAATCCGTGTCATCACCGGTGAAGAAAGTCGATTCCACAAGCACCCGTCTGAAACACAAGTGGCATCACAACATATCAAAACCAGTCATTCTCCCCCATGTAGATGCTCGATTCCACAAGCACCTGTTCGAGACACACGTCCGTGATCAGAACACATCAAAACAAGCCATCCCCCGTGTGGGTGCTCAATTCCACAAGCACCCGCTCCAGACGCACGTCAATGGCATCAAAACGCATCAAAAACAACTCTTCCCAGGTATGCGCTCGATGCCATTTCCCGAGTAAACGCTCGATTCCACAAGCCGCTCGAGACGCACATCAGGCAGCCAGCCATTCCCCATCAACACTGTCGATTCCACCACTCGAGACGAACATCAGTGGCAGCACTCCACATCAAATCAGCCATTCCCCCATCTAGCGCTCGATTCCACAGGCGCCCATTCGAGACGCACATCCGTGGCATGACAGCACCTCAAAACCAGCCATTCCTCATCTAGACGCTCGATTCCACGTGGAACCATCGGATCGCTCACAAATAGAAGTGATGGTTTGAAAGCGGTTTCCCGAGTGTGGACGCTCATCGATGCGAATTTCAACCCAGCGATGCGAGATGAAGGGACCACTAGTACTGGCTGCTTCAAAGGGCCTGGTTGCTGAGGACGTCGTAGACGCCGTCCGTTGCAAGAACTATAAACAGGTCCTTCCGTCATGTCTGTGTTCCGGAACTCGGCTTACAGCCGGCGAGACTTCTTAGAAGCTCCTTGTCCGAAAGAGGAACGATCCGAACTTCCGGTTCCGCAATGGCCAGCCCGATGGGCCGCTTGAAATGCCTCGGCACCGCCATGCCCAACACGTGCACCAGAGACGCCCTTCGCCAAGCCCCCGGCAGGTCGCCGAAAGATCGGGTCATGGCGAGGCCCTGACGAGACCAGAATCGCATGTCTTGAGATGGACACCATCGACGGCCAAGCGGAGGGATCTGTAGCACAGCACTGCTTTCAAATTGCACCGTGGCCTGGTATTCTCTTCTGGCAGCCTGCACCGTCCACATGAAAGTGAAAGGATTTCGGACAATGAGCAAGAAAGAAATGTGTGTGTGTGTGGGGCCAACGCATTTCATCATGCCAGTCCAGCTTACATTGAGTTGGGCCTTGTTCATGGAATTGGGATTCGTCGAGGTGGCAACGCGCCAAGCTCCACGAACCTAGGATGTGACTTCGTCGGCTTTCGTCTGGACGCTGCAACACAAGACTGCGATAGACTGCGGACTCACAAAACTGGCCGTGCAACTCAAGAAGAGCGACACGAAACGGCAAAGACATGCAGTTTCCGGTCTGGACCAAAGTAACAAGAAACGACGCTGGATCCCGCCTGCAACACGAGACCGCCAACTCGTTCAATGCGTTTTTTCCTGCCATGCAGCCAAACCGATGTTGGGGGTGTTGGCCCAGCTAGATACTCGGCAGCTTTTGCAGGTGCGAAATCTCATGCTCTTGAACCCATGCCGGAGTTTCTCATCGATTCGAGTTGGTCGGTGATCCTCGGAGGCTGGCACGGCCTGCACGAAAGGCTTCACACGTAGTCAATCTAGCGTGAAGGCTCTTCGGTGCCAACTGCCGTCCTGACTCCTCTCGTCACCAACATGGTACCGTCAATTTACATGTGCTCCGTCAGCCCGAACCCGTACCCACAACATCACAACTTCATCCATCAAATATTGCAACACTGCCGCGGCCTGCCCTGCACGGCCTGGCGAGCAGATCGTCCGGTTCAAACCAGGAGACATTTCAGGGAGTCGTCTTGCAAGCTCTCCAAGCGACTGCGCGTCAGCTGGGGATCCCGCAGAGCACGGCCCGCGAATCTCCAAGATTTGACACTACCTGCTTCAGGCAGGGTTTTCATGTGCCCTCATGATCGACTCAACTCAAGCAAACAAAGCGAGACCATGAACTCGTGGCAGCACCAGGTAGTAAATTGCCATGTGAGGCTGCGTGATCTCGTCAAGCTACAAGTATCTTGTCTTGCAATCTTGCCGGGCACGCCAAACGCAGGGCGGTCCCCAGCTTCCTCGCGGACCACGCGTTGCATCAACCGGTGAACACATCCAGTTGGCTCGATGCATACATGTTGCGTGCTCGGGTGCAGCCAAGCATCGGGTTGCCATGCAGTATCACTGAAACCTGGGTGCTCGAGAGCGGCTCGTCAGCTGAATGTAGGACGAGATTCCATGAAGGTCCAGCAGGTGACTGGAGTATTTCTCGTAACGGGTGCCGCACGCAAGTGGAGCCAACAAGCTCAAACCTCAGCCAGGGAGTTGGTGATGGTGGCAGCACATCAAGGGACACGTGCTGTCTCGGCCATCGGCTTCTTGCGCTCTGCTAGAGCCAAAATCTCCTTGTCGGTTTGGAGGAACGCCTGGCAAATCGTGCTAAGCACGAAGGTCTTCAGCCAAGCGAGTTTCCCGAAAAGGAGCAGGCACCTCCACCACACCGTAAAAGCAGCTCTTGTGACCGGATCAGTCCACCCACCCCGACCCTACGCAAACTGCCGGCCTCCTTAATGGCCAGTTTGATTTTCTCGTCCCGAGACGCAGGTTGAACCTGCTGCGGCGAAAACAGCGTGTGAGTTTGACCATGAGTCGCGGTCTCGAACTTAGGGCTGGCTGTTGCGACAATGGCATATAGCTGCTAGAGTTTGCTGGCCTCTATCAGGAAACAACCAGACACAAGAGGCTGGCCTGTTTTTGCCTCATTTGCTGGAGGACATTCCTGGGCACCCAACAACTGTGCTGAGAGGACAGACGTCACAGCTTTGATCGATGTCGAAGAACTCGAGTTCGGCATGTCACTAGCAAACCCCAGCCCAAAATCCACGGGGCCACGCTTGTGAAGCTTCTCCTTCACCATGTCCGCCACCTTTTGCGGGAAAGTGGTCAGCACTTGAGAAGCATCGATCTTTTCTGGGCGACCTGTGTTCCACCGTGACCGTCGAGGACGGCGAAGTAGACGCCGAGCTCCTGAACAGGTCAGAGTTTCGTCGTCTCCAGGACGAGGGATTTGCTTCGCACGCCTCGAGCGGTTCGTCCATGACGTATCGGTCCTGCCACAAACCGAAAGAAATGGTCATGCGCAAGGCATACAAAACACACACACACACACTGACACAGACACACACACACACACACAAATAAAAATATATATATATACATTAGTATAAACAGAAAACACACACACACAACGACACAAAGCAAAAGAAGGAAGAAGTTCGGTGCCCCAGACTCAGACCGTCCTGGAGGGTCTTCTTGAGCCCGGGCCTGCCCATGCTCAAACCAAAACCAAAGAGTTCTCACAAGAGTTCGGTCTCTGCCCGTTCCCAGGCCGCGCACCAGCTTTCGCAGTGCACCCGAAGGCCCAGCGACTCGGCCGAGACGTGATAGCTCTTCTTCTTCTCCTCAGTGCAGACACACATTCTGGCACAATCGCCAGCTCCAGAACAAAACCTTTTTGCAATATCATGAGCTGTAAGCTATCTTCTCCATGTGATACCCTGCCCAACTCCCGTCTCTTCTGATGCAGCTGTATGAGATAGAAATGACCATTGCGAGCCGTGAGCAGACTTCGATACAGGAGCCCCCTCAAACCAGCTTGTAAGCCAACCTCCAGCGTCTGCGCGCCAGCATGGATAGGAAGTGGCTTGCCGTCTGCACCTTATGGACTCACATGAATCAGGAAGAGAAAACCCTGTAGCCAAAGGCTGAAACCTCCCATTTATCCTTGCATCCGACATGCAAGATCAGGCAAGCAGACCAAAGAACGGACTTAGCTAAATCGTTGCAGTTCAGGCAATGTGTGTGTGTGTGTGTGTGGGTGCGTGCGTGTGTGGGTGCGTGCGTGCGTG